TGGTACAGACCTGAGCATACATTAGGCTTCCAATGGCTGAAGCATATGGAATGTTTTTCATCTGTTCCTGCTCGAGCTCATTTTTGGGACATTGAGTTAGGCTAAACCTATCACCCTTCACAATAGGTGCTACACTAGGCGAACAGTCCTTCATTCGAAATCTCTCTAAGACTTTGTTAATATAGATCTCTTGAGACAAACCTAAAATGCCTTGAGATCTTTCTCTATGGATCTTAATGCCAATGACATAAAATGCCTCACCCATATCCTTCATATCAAAGTTCTTTGAGAGGAATTGTTTCACCTCATGTAGCAAACCCTTATCGTTGGTTTCAAGTAAAATATCATCCACATATAGAACAAGAAAACAAATCTTGCTCCCACTAAACTTCTGGTATATATAATGATCTATGACGTTCTCTTCAAAACCAAACGAAGTGATGATGTCATGGAATTTCAAATACCATTGACGGGAAGCTTGTTTTAATCCATATATGGATTTATTAAGCTTACAAACCAGGTGCGCACCACCACTAGAGGAGAATCCTTTAAGCTGTTTCATGTAAACATCTTCCTCTAGATCAGCATTAAGGAATGTCGTTTTCACATCCATTTGGTGCAAGTCTAAATCAAAATGGGATACCAATGTCATAATTACTCAAAGGGAATCTTTCTTATATACAGGAGAGAATGTCTCTGTGTAATCGATTCCTTCTCTTTGAGTGAATCCTTTTGCAACGAGTCTTACTTTATGTCTCTCAATGTTGCCTAGTGAGTCTTTCTTTGTTTTAAAAACCCATTTACATCCAATGGCTTTTACACCATCAGGCAACTTGACGAGATCCCAGACTTTGTTGGATGCCATTGAATCCATCTCATCTTTCATGGCATTGTACCAAAAACTTGATTCTTTACAATTCATGGCTTGGGAAAACGTTTCAGGATCATTTTCAACTCCAACATTGTAGTCAGACTCTTGTAGATACACAACATAGTCACTAGGAATCGCCGATTTTCTTATTCTAGTAGATCTTCTTAATGCTGTATCAATATTCTCCTGAGGAGCAGGATTATTTTGTTCAGCAAACTGTTCAACGGCTTTAGGCATCTGTTGAACTTCAGCATCTACTGGATCAGGCTCAATAGCTTGTGGAACTTCATGAACTTATCCTTCATTATACGATTGTACTCGAGGTATATTGTTAACAACAATACTCAGTCCATCGCTTGAAGTGGCACACTGAGCATCTGAATGATCTTTCTCATGACAAATGCCCCGAGATTGATCGCTCCCACTAATCAAGTCATTTTCAAGAAATTTTGCATTTATTGATTCCACAAGCCTAGTGCTATGAGATGGACAATAAAATCTGTAGCCCTTAGACCTTTCGGCATATCCAACAAAATACCCACTTATGGTCCTTGGGTCAAACTTCTTTTCTTGTGGATTGTAGACTTTCACTTCATACGGACATCCCCAAACGCATACATGTCGCAAACTCGATTTCCAACCCTTGAATAACTCAAAAGGTGTCTTTGGGACAGCCTTGGTTGGAACTCGGTTTAATATGTACGCAGCTGTCTTAAGAGCTTCAATCCATAAAGAGTGAGGAAGCTTGGAGCTAGAAAGCATGCTTCGTACCATGTCCAATAATGTTCGGTTTCTCCTTTCAGCTACTCCATTTTGGTTCGGAGAACCAGGAAAATTGTATTGGGCAACAATCCCATTCTCTCGAAGAAACCTCGCAAATGGACTAGTCGCTTGTCCACTCTCAGTGTATCTACCATAGTATTCTCCACCTCTATCGGATCTCACGATCTTAATTTGTTTACCACATTATTTCTCTACTTCAGCTTTAAATACCTTAAAAGCATCTAGTGCTTCATTTTTACTGTTAAGCGAGTAGAGATACATGTATTGTGAGTAATCATCTATGAAAGAGATGAAGTATTTATCACGGTATGCTTCCATGTCTGGACTACAAATATCTGTGTGTATGATTTCTAATAATTCAGAGCTTCTCTTGGCACCCTTTTTCGACTTATTAGTTTGCTTTCCTTTAATGCAGTCTATACAAGTCTCAAAGTCTGTAAAATCTAGAGTACTAAATACTCCATCATTCACCAACTTTTTAATTCTATCAATGGAAATGTGTCCCAATCTTCGATGCCACAACATAGAAGACTCTTCATTCACAACACATCATTTAGTACCAATATTTTCATGAACGTGCATGGTAGTATGGTTGTTATCATTTTGAAAATTAATAAGAAAAAGACCATCAGATAAAGTACCACATCCAATAACATCAGATTTATAAAATAAATTAAATCCAAAGTCTGAAAAGTTAAAGGAATAACCAACTGATATAAGTCTGGAAATTGAAATCAAATTCCTAGAAAAACTGGGAATATAAAAGGTATTTTCTAAATTTAAAATGAAGCAACTACTTAAAACCAATATGCACGTGTCAATGGCCTCCATATGCGAGGGCATCTTATTTCCTGAATAGATGCTACGCTCACTTCCCATTAGTTTCCGCAGGTTTCGCAAGTTCTGCAATAAATTGGTCACATGGATCGTAGAAGCAGAATCAATCCACCATGTATTATGATTAACATCAATCATATTGGATTCATAACAAACAAGTGAGAGTTGAGTACCTTTTTTGTCAAGCCACTTCATGAACTTGGAGCATTGCTTCTTAAGGTGCCCCTTCTTCTTGCAAAAGAAGTACACAATCTCCTTCTTAATGTCCTTTTGAGGATGGATTTTTCCCTTCCCCTTGTCCTTGGCCTGATCTTTCTTCTTCTTTCCTGGAGTTGTCAAATATACCTTTTCTTTCTCACCTTCCTCCATAATTAGTCTGCCCTCTTCTTGTACACACATGGTCAGCAACTCATTAATGGACCATTTATCTTTATATGTGTTATAGGAGATCTTGAATGGGCCATATTGTTGAGGCAAGGTGCAAAGGATAAAGTGAACAAGGAATGATTCGAACATCTCAACTTCCAATGCCTTGAGTTGGGCTGCTATATCTCTCATGCGCATGATATGATCACGCACACCCTTAATGTCAGTGATCTTCAAGTATGAAAACTGCATAATGAGGGTGTTGGTCATCGCTTTATCTGAACTGCAAAACATGAATCTAGTGATATAAAACTTGCATGTGGGCTAAAGTTCTAGTTCAATTAGATTTATCTTAACTTCACAATAAAACTATCAAATTATGTTCCCTTTTCTAGTTCCTGTGGGCAAATTAGAAAATATAATTTGATATTTTATCCTAATTAATCACATATAATACGATAAAAATTCCTGTGGGATAAAATTTATCATATCAAGTATGATTACTTACAATTAATGTTTGTTCTCCAAATGTGATCCCAAATGAACCTTAATATATAATTTCAAATAATTAAAGATCCTGTGGCTATTCCTTAATTAATTAAAACTATATGAATCACCAAACATTAACTAAATTCTTAGGGTCAAACTATTGCTAAACCATAAGCAATACAATCGGACATTAATGTACTAATATTATTCAACTTAAATATTGCATGAATAAAACAATAAACTATTCACACAAATAACAAAAATAAATAATATAAGCACATAAATATCCAAATTAAATTCATAAAGAGCCTTCTTATTAGAATTAATTTTTAATGTGTAAAAAATTATTTAACAGATAATGTATGCATAATAAACCACAAAATTTATACATACAAAAAACATAAATAAATAAGTTCAGTACATGTGAAAACAAAATCACCAAATAATCCTCATTAATTTTCGGCACATGGGTCCACAAAATGATACAATTTCAAATATTTGACTGATACATTTACATTCCACTTCCATATGATGAAGTTGGCAGCATTTATTGCATTTCATGCAAGTTGGCAACCATTATTTTTCATGCAAGTGGGCCCTATTGCTAGAAACTAATGGTTTTTTTTTTGTACTTTAATTGGTAGACAACGAAGTGAACGTGTCTCTCTGCATGCAACTGATTTGAAAGGATTTTTTTTTTTTTATTAAGGTCATCTTCAACCTCCTGCTGGGTCGAAATGATCCGGTTCCAACCCAAATGAAAGATCCGGGCATATCTCATGATTCCGACCACCAAATTTTGAAAATCTTATATCAAAATTCTCAGAAATCAATTTCCTAATATCAGTTTTTATAAAAACGATTAAATCAAAAATCATATTTTTCAACAGAAAGTGTACAGGTTGAGAGCAAACAAGGTAAAGGCAAAACGAAAGCTCTGATACCAAATGTAAAGTCTACTTAAGCGATCTAAACATGTTTTAATCAACAAAATAGCATTTAGATCAATGCGGAATAAATTGGATTGAAAAACTTACCTCCCGCCATTGTCGTTGTTCACATACTTTCTCAAGCTTATAGGTGGTGTTTAACTTCGGGTTAAGGCTCTTCTAAGCCCTCTTTCTCACTGCTTAGATGGTGCATGCAGATTGAACATGAAAATGAGCTTAAGGACCTTCCGAATGGATCTCAACGCCTTTAAAATGCTCTTCCCATCACAGAGCGGTTATGCACGTCCATGGGTGGTTACCAAACATGATTTTAAACGTTGGGTTAACTGCTTTCATAGTGGGACATGGGATATGTGGACCACTATTAATTTGGTTAAAATCCAACATTCCACCCTGCTGATGATGTAATTATTGTATATTACTTGATCAAAAAAATCAAGAACCAGAAGATGCCTCCCCATTGGATTAACTTGGTAATATACACGAGATCGACCCGGAGAAACTCGCTGGTGAGATCATCTATTCTTCCTTCCATGCTTATCCTGTCCTTTTATGTTTCTTCCGTCTTCAAAAAGAGTTTCTTGGATAATTTCTGGCTATTATTTTTTGTATCTCAAATTTTATGTTATTCGGTAAGGCTTTTAGGAAGCCAGGAAGATAATTCTTCTTTTTCTTGAATTTAATTTTCGCATTACAGATGAATATGGGCAGACAACAATGAAAATTTGGTACTTGTTTACAATAAGGGGTAGAAAATACCAGAATAAGAAAATAAGTTTATCTACAATTGATGGGTATTGGCAAGCAGAGGGAGACGATGAAAGAGTCGAAGAAAATGGTGAAACTGTTGGATTTCAAAAGACATTTAAATTCTACAAGGGAAAACCTGAAAGCAGTACTGATACATGTTGGATTATGCATGAATTTAGAGCTATTGATCCTCTTCCCCCGAAATACAGTCATGTTGAAGGACAAACCAAGGTATGTTTTTTTTTTCTTTTTTCCCCTTACTATTTTCAAATGAAGTTCTGAAAGAGTTGTTGTATTTATACATTACTTTATTTTCACATCTTGCAGTTGGAGAAGGATTGGGTTTTGTGCAAAATATGCAACACTGAGGTCGATCCAGAAGCAGGCGAAACGGTTGAACACTCAGATTCGGTCTCGGATTATGTCTCAGAAGAAGATGAGGAAGAAGTAGCTCCATGAGGAAGAATATCTGGGATGTTTATTTGATGTCTGTTTGCTGTTTAAGTTTTTAAATAAAAGATTTTAATATTTCCTCTGCTTAGATTAAGATCCCGTCTTGTCGATTAAAATTTTTTATTGATTTTTCATCTTATATTTTCAGTATACGTAAAATCAAATTAAAAAATTAGAATGGTACCCAATGCATCGTGGATTTGGGTTCGGCTCTTGTGTGGTACTAATTAAGTGAACTTTAATTTTGGTCACGTAAACTATAGCAACACACTTAGTTACACATATATAACTTGATTGTAAAGATTGTGCACTCCAAGATTATCTGTTTGATACAAATAATGGGCTGAGTTTTTTAGAACACTAAGTAATCAACCCACCAAAATCAATTGCCAAGAAAACATCTCACCATTGCCTCTTTGTAAATAACCCACGAAAGGAAACCAAGAATCAATGAATTGGTCGCCTCAGGTGTTTCTCTCAATTTTGCACAATAAAACAACGGTTAACAAGTAAATTGGGCCAACATCATGTCTCATAGGTTAGAGAGAGGCCATCCAACAAATAGTGGACGGGCCGAGCAATTTTAATTCTAATGTTGCTTCAAACAGTCCAAAACATTTTTTAATCGACGCCAATCAATTTCGATGTTGATTTCACTTTTCATTCTTCGACCAAAGCCTGTGAAAATAATCTTAACGTTATTGCCCACTGAAAAATACGTAACAATGACCTATGCACGTCTATACCTGAGGCGTCCTCTTCTCCTTATTACACAACTCAATATTCAAGAAACGACTCTAATCAAACCCCAAAGGGTATAACAACAAAGGTGCGGTAAATTCAATTCGTATCTCTCTCAGCCGGCTTGTGTACGTGTAGGGAAGAAGGCAAAATATTGAAACCATTTTTTGTTGAATTTAGTGTACCTACTCCCAAAGTATTTTCTAAGAATAATTTATTTAATTTCCTCTGCATACGTTAACTACTCATTTTCATATATCTCCTAAATTATTGTTAGACTATCTGAATGAATTTTATACATACAGGTGATACACCTACTTAGAGAAAAATTATCAACTAGACTGTTGACAATTTTATCAATTTTGGAGGGGTTGTGTTGATTTTGCTTGTTAAGAGTCGAGGTTCATCTTTTGACCTCCACCTTTCAAACTAGCCATTGGACGTGCTTGTTACGACATGCTATTAAAATTTTAGTGGAAAATAAAATAAAAATGTTATAAAGGTACTCAAAATGGTGTAACTTTTCAATCTTTTATCTATTTCTACCTACCAAACATACTTCAAATCTGGACTTTTATATAAATGTGATCAGGGCAACCATGCATGTATATGCATAGAGAGCAGATGGTCATTTTGTTCTCAAATCTCAAATTTTTCTTTTGCATCCCTTTTATACCTTAGAATTGTCTTCTCGAATTACAATAAACAAAACTAAAGAAGTCCAAACAAAAAAATTCTCAAAACTTTAATTTCTTCCTTTTCCTCTCTATTTCTCAGTCAGAAATGACTGCATAATTTTCAGAACCTGATAAGAAATAAGAGCAGAAATGCAGCCAAAAAAAAAAGGTTCCGTTTTCTACTTCTATAATCATCTTAATTCAGATATTACCTGTCTATCTATACAGAACTTGGCTGAACAGTAGAAAACTATAAATAAGCTAAAAAAATTTGAAGGAAAAAGGGATTAATTAATTAAGATCGAGATCAGATGGGTCGGGTCGGGTTTTTCTTCTTTATTCCCGCCTGGGATGGGCCAACCAGAGGGAGCTGAGGGCGCTGAGGCGGTGGAAGTACTCGGCTATGGCCAGAAAACAGTGTGCAGCTTGGAAGGTCGTCAGAATCTGGTGTAGCCGGTGAAGGGTTTGGTGCCTCAGATTATCAGCCTGTAAGTCAATGTTAATCATATTCTAATTAATTGATTTCATATGTGAAAATGTAAAAAATATGTATATAAAACAAATGATAATCACCATGCACGTATGTTGACTTTAAAGGTATAAACACTCAATTATCTACCATCAACATAGCACATTAGTGTGTTTGGTTCTTCTTAAATTTAAGTCGAACTTACTTCAAATTACTTATTTTGCAAAATGTGATCTTTTAAAGTAACTTTAAACTAAACTCTCTTATTGAATTGTCTTACTAATTTACTTAAATATATTAGTATTTCATCACTCTTTTAAATAAACTATTGCGTATATTTCAAAGTTTGATTTTAAAAACTGATACACGACTACGCCATAAATTAAAGGAAATTTATATCTCGGGCCTTAGGTATAGGGCAATTCAATTTTAAGAAAACACGTTTATAATTCCAAAATTCAAGTGATAAATAAATAATTAAAGATATTTTATTATTTACATATATTAATGTCACAATTATACAATTTATGATACAATTACATATTTATAGGTTATAACTTATTTATTGATTACATATTATTAAATTAATTGGTCACAAATTAAAATTTTTATAGGTTACAATTTATTTATCGGTCACCCAAATTTAATAGGTCATAACTTATTTCACGACCACAAATTATCAAATTAATTAGTTACAAATTAATTTCCAATCGCAAATTACCATTGTTCACAAATTATTGAATTTTATGGTAACGTGTTAGATAGTTAGTCACAAATTAATCAAATAATTGATCACAAACAAGAAGAACCCCCAACCCATTCCCAGTTTCACAATCGACACCAAAACTTGGTCATAGATCAACTAAATAGTAGATCACAAATATCTAAATAGTTAGTTACAAACACTCTTCATCCAACTCCCAACACCAATAGTTGGTCACAAATACCTAAATAATTGGTTATAAAAACTTTTCATCCCCACTCCCACCACACCATCGACACCAATAGTTGGTCACAAGCTCTTCAACACATCCCACACCAACCCACCACCAATAGTTGGTCACAAACTCTTCAACCCATCCCACACCAACCCAACACCACCACCACTTCAACAAAAAATAAAACCAACAACATTGTCGATCACAGCCAGCTGTACTATAGGCAACACCATCTGTATCACCACAAAACCCCAACACCAAAAGATGGAAACAAACACCACCACCACCATTCCAACAATAGAAAAAATGAACAACATTGCCGATCGCATGTTGCAACGACGCTATACAAAGAACCCGAACGGTTTCGTAATTAAATTTGGACCCAACGATTCCACTTACTAAATATTTGAAAATTTTGGGTTAGGTTCCGTTCTCGTTTGAATCGAACCAAATCAGACTATGTTCAGTCCTACATTAGAAATAGGAATTTGTAACGTGTCATTTACCCGATGGGGTTTTTTCTTATCCTTTGTAACTAAACATTACAGGTTTTTTCTTGCGTGTTGATTTCTAAATCCTTTCATTTGGAGAAGTTTGGGAATTTTAATTCAGGCTCATTTGTCAGGTTCTACCACTCTTATCTCTACAATAAAATTTGGTTTTGGATGTGCCAAGAAAATTAAAAAAAAATAAAAAGGCTGAGAGAGATTTTGCTTGGCTAATCTATATTTTAAATTGTAAAAAATCTTCATTTTAATATAAAAATATAATTTATTTAAATGTTGTTACATGTGTAAAAAAAATTATGTTGGAGGGCTTATATTAATTAGTCGTCTAGGCCACTAAATTCTCGGGATCGGCTACAGATGCATACATCCTTAATCAAAAATCATCTAAATTTTCATTAAATTGTCATGGCGTGGACCTCTCTTTCTATATTGACAAACATGATTTTAAGCATAGTTTGGAACATTAAGTTCAACAATGATTCTTAATTCGGATAAGTTGATTCGTTGGAAAATTTGTACGTAGTTCTCATGCTTCTCAAACCTTCCTCTTCGATTCTTCTCTCTTTCATAACAAAAGCGTCCAATGGAGGACGTGGTTGAAAATCTACAATAGAATCCAATATATTAAAATAAATGAGAAATAAAGTTATATGAATATTGTATAATGAGTGAAATAATATTGATTTGATTTCTCCAAGTGGGACTCAATGAAACATCTAACGAACTCAGAATTCTGTGGATGAAATGAAAGTAGTATCATCGACAACTTAATGTATACGAGTGTCAATTAAACAATTTTTATTTCTTTTTATTCTTATCTGCCTTTTGGTCTTATTAAATGCACATATAAAAATTAATTTAATATAAAATGGAAAATTGGCAAATGTCATGTTTAAATTTTCTTCCATGATGCACTTTCATCTTCAACATTTATTTCTTGATAGTGTTATCTCTCAATATTTTCATAATTGACATGTGTATACTCATTCAAGTTCTAAAATGACTTTTAAGTTCGCATAAAAAAATTAATTTATGTTGAATTATTTATAATTTTCCTATGAATGATGCATCTGCACTTAATTGGCAGTGATTTAAACACAAAAGCATCCATATATCGACCACTTTTATGTTCTTCAACATCCGAACTAACCTTAACTTGAGACCACAGGAAAAGGGCACCAAAAAAAAGGACTCAAAAAACAATAAAAATGATAACGGATCTAAAGATGAGTAGAAAGACTCTTGAATGTGATACATATTATTGTTTAACACCAAAAGAATCATGTGTATGGAATGAGAGTGAAACAAAGAACGGAAGTGGAATAAAACTAAAACTAGAGGTTCAAGATGAATGCCATGCGATCGCATAGCCACAACCCGAAACTGGAGAGGCCAGTTTGAAGAACTCCATACGATCGTATGGAGTTATACCATGCGGTCACATGGTAGTAACAAATGACCGTTGGAGGTCGTTTCTAGTAGTTTTTTGGCAGCTTTTGGAAGATTTCTTGCAACCTGTCAACATGGTTTTAACACCAATTCGTGACATTGATTGAGGCCTATAAATAGGCCATGGATGATCAATGAAAAATATAGAAATCATATTACAAATATATGATGAACATTCCTTCATTTCACAAGAAGAAACCAAAGTCTTCTTCATTCATATTCAAATTCCTTTAGGGTCTGCTTGATTGCAAAGATGGAATTTGGATGGAAAGAAAACGAATTTCAGATAATTGAATTCCCTATAAATTATTTTCTTGGGAATTATAAATTATTGTGTTTGAATGATATAATTTTTCATGTGGAATATGTTGAAATAAAAGTGTTTTTTGGTATTCGTTTGACTTTATTTTATATGAAAATTGTTAATTAAAGAGATAGATTTTACTGGTATTGGGGATGAAATTTGTTTTCATTGCCAACAACAACAAAAAATTCAAAAAAAAATTATCTATCTTTTGATGTTCGTTTGTCTTTATTTTATATGAAAATTGTCAATTAAAGAAGAATAGTTTTTTACAATAATTCTTAAAATTTGTTTCCATTGCCAATAAAAAAAAATTGCCTAGAATTCCAATTCTTATCATACCCATAAGAATTGGAATTCCATGAAAACAAGAAAAATTGGCGCGTGGGTTGGAAACATGGAATACCAATTCCATGGTAAATATATGTTATCAAATAAGGATAAAGCTAGAAAGTGGAATCCAATCAAATAGGCCATTAGTGTTCTTCAAGTTTGGAAAGTCACACAAGTGCTCAAGTGTTTGATTCTCTACAATGCTTGATTAATCCTAAAAATTATTTGTCGCAAGACCCTTTAAGCACCAACATTATATATGAGATGGGGGCAAATATCGTTTAAAGACAGCGATATAACGTCGTGTTTGAGCTTTCATATTCATTTAGGTTTTTCCTATTATTTTCATCTTTTTGAATTTTCATTTCTCGGTTTCTCCCTAAACCCCGATGTGATAATTTTTCAACAGAATGCGCTCAAACGCAATGAAAATTCACAAAAACAAATTACATTTTTATGAGTCTGCATCTAGCAATTCTCATCTCTCCACCTGACTAAATGCCCAACCTTAAATAAGGTTTTGGAATTCATGAATATGCTTTGCATTGCATCTGAGCAATTGCCCTTTTTAGAGGGCATTGGATATTAAAAAAATTCTTATTTCTCGAATAATTTTGTCCTTTCTCAAACTAATCCAAATGGAAGACTGTTAGATTGTTTTTGTGAATTCCAAAACCTTATTTAAGGTTGGGCGTTTAGTCAGGTGGAGAGATGAGAATTGCTAGATGCAGACTCATAAAAATGTAATTTGTTTTTGTGAATTTTCATTGCGTCTGAGCAATTGCCCTTTTTAGAGGGCATTGGATATTAAAAAAATTCTTATTTCTCGAATAATTTTGTCCTTTCTCAAACTAATCCAAATGGAAGACTGTTAGCCCCCCAGGGCACATCCAAGTTGACAGAACAATCACATTGGGGGGCTCTGGAACCAAGTGTGGGGAGTTCGATTCCTGGTTGGAGCAGCCAAGTGATGTAATAACCAGAGGAAGGTTTGGAGCAGCTTGGTGATGTAATAACCATGGAGGATGGTCCCTTTGGAGAAGGAGTAAAAGCCATGTGGGAACCTGGGAACCAACAAGGACACAACCTGCGATTTACCTCCACTAATCACTGAGGGGCTGGGGGCTAGAGGTCCAGGATTTAGTCCGGCTAAATTGGGACACCTGGATTATCAAAAAAAAAAAAAAAAAAAAAGACTGTTAGATTGTTACAGCAATTTTGGACTTTAGTATGTCTTGAAATAAGTGTTCTTCGTGAGCACTGACAGCAATACACAGAAATACATGTGGGTCGCAACACTCCATTGGATTCTAGTGGGCTCATTTTAATTATTTTAGAATATTAAATTGGATTGATGGATCTATTGCTTAGATGATTCTCGTCTACTACGTCGTAGTGGAGTCGTTATCATATTGTTTGATATTTAAAATCATATAAAAAATTTCATACACAATTTGACAATATCCTTGCTATCGCATAAATCGATAATTATCTAGACTCTAAATAAATAACATTACATGCATAATGAGTTAGGACTTGGCAAAAGGAGCCTTAAGTGCTTTTTCTTCAAAGAAAATATATGAGCCTGTTTGAGAGTGATTTTGAGAATTGATTTTTTGATCGTTAAGAAAAAAGTGGGATCCATCTGTGAGAGAAGAAGTCAAATATGACGGTTGAAATAATAAAATAAAGGTCAAAAAATCAATTTTTTGGGAGAAAAATTACTCCCAAACAAGTTCTATATATACACACACATGTCGACCTTCAATATCATAATTGTACTTGAATCTTCGTGATTTATCTTTGCAGGGTTTGTTGGTATTTCTTTGGAAGTGAAGAATTTATTTTATAAACTTCATATAAATAATTTAAATAAAATATATTAGTTTGAGGTCATTTATCCACACTCTAGAGCATGCCGCATTAAATATGGGGACCTATATTTCTTAATATATATTTTTAGGCATGGAATTGACAATACTACTTAGGTGCTTGGATTTGTCTTTTGGGGCATTCATTTTGAACACGTTACACACCCTTGTGTGAACGTAACGTGCTAGGGGTTGGATTGAAAATATTGCCCATTATAGTCGGAATAAAGATGATATTCGAGTTATAAATTTAAAATGATCGGTTAAATTTAATGAAGTTTGTTACAAAAATTTGAAATGACTTAATAGATATCTTCGCGGAATGAACATTTTAACCATATGTACATGCTATTAGTAGAGAGATAAATAAATAAATATATTGCTTCTTTAATATATTAACTTGTACTCCCACTTATTTAAAAAATAAATATATCGATTCTTTAATATAAGTTTCGTCGTCGTGTATTTATGAAATAGTGCGATTATATAGTAACATAATTATTCAGCTGGTTGAGACACAAGTTTCGTAGTCGAGGTGATCAAGAGTTTTACATAAGTCAATTTGAGTTTATCAATGCTATGAATGGGTTGTGTTACATACACCTAAAATAGTAATATGATGACCCCGCATACGTATAGATTAAGCGTTTCAAGGACAACTCTAGTTTGCTATTTGCTAGGATTTTATTCGAAGTGTGCACTTATTATAATATAAAGGTATAAGCTTATTAAAAAACTAAATAAAATAAGAGAAGGATTATAGATCAAGAAATAAAGATTCTTTATCTTAATTATGTCGGTCGAGTTAACATAAATAATGTGCAACAATATGTTTTATTATATTGTTCTTCTTCTATGTCTTTATAGTTTATATGCCAATTACCAAACTAGTAAATTAAAGATAACATCAATCGTCACATACCATGAGCAAATTTTTTAGATTATAAAATAAGATGTTGGCTAACATCTTTCAATTTGTGATGTGTTCCTTGTAAAATAATGATATTTACATTAACAACAAAATCGTGACAAATAATCCAACTTTTATGACATTACGATTATATCTTCCATCATAAAAAATACTATGCACGACTATAATTGTCCAATATAATTAAATTAGTTTGTCCAATATAATTAAATTAGTTTGACGAAAGCACTATTTATGATACTTCATTTGTGGTAAAGACGAAATCGTTAGATGAAATAGAATTAAGCCCTGTGTACAGGACACTGTTTTCACAAGGGCCTTACAGGCCACTCATTACCGACCTGGATTAAAAAAAATAAAAAAAAAATTTGTGCTGGCTCCACCATTGTCTCTGACCTGGCCGACCCCTGTAAGTGCTTCCCCTGTACGTGAAGCACGGTTGGATGAAATATTGCCACCATCATAAATTTATATATTTGTGAACGTATGCTTCTCGATATTAGTAGTATAATCATTTTGTTTATCCTTCATAAATTATTCAACAATGTGATCAACGTTTCTCAATACAACTTTATAAAAAACTAATTTCTTATTAAAGAGTAAGTTCGTTTTATCTTATAATTTTATATATGCACGAATATATTATTTTTGATTGTACATAGTATAACCATATATATTTTTCACCATGAATTTTTACCAAGGGAAGTATCGAAATTCTCCCAATTTGTGTTTGTTTTCTTTTGAATAATTAATGTTTTAGGCGTGACATTATGGGTTCAATCAATTTCTACTTGAAATATATATATATATATATATATATATATATATATATATATATATATATATATATATATATACACACACACACACACACGATTATAGCGGCCACCTATGCATTATGTTTAAAGTTGTTACGTCGTCTTGTAATCATTTGTCCCTCTCACTCACTGTCTCTCTCTAATATCAATTTCTTCTTATCAATCAAGCTCCAATTCAAATCCTCTAGCAGAAAATGAAACTGAAATCAGTGTATTTTTTGGGAAGAGCTCCAGCAGAAATTGCTGAATTCAATACCCATTTATTACCACCAATACCCGCCGGCTCCGGAAGAGTTGCTCCGCCACCGGGTGCAGCTGCAAAATGCGACGGCGACGCTCATAGATGTCCATGGTGGCCGTATACAAATTCCAACGATTTCAAAGAGAATACTGCCCTGATACTAATCGTGCTTATCATAGCTTTAATCTGTGCTTTAGCTTTCAATGCTGCAATTCGGTATATCATACGCATGCACTGCTGTCGGCGGCGGCGCAATTCTCTGCAATTACCGGTGGATCACGGCAATGTGGAAATGGCACAGCCAAAGACGGATCTTAGCTCCGGTACAGTTAATTATCTAATTATTTCAAAGTTAATCCATTTAAATTTTATCACGTCTGGTCCATATCATTTTTTTGTGTCATGCTTGAACAATATTTATTAAGCTTTGTTTGATAGAAATTAAAATTTAAGTCAAAGTCAACATTAAATTTTAATCATATATTTAAGAGACCCATAATTTTTCAATTATATATTCCATCAACTTCTATTAAAATTTGATTTTAATCTTGCCTCTAAACTCGTTATAAACTTTTGGTGTGAATTTTTAACAAAATAAAATATAATAATTTGTAAATGAAACTTTACACCCGTTGTTACACAAGTTTATTACATTAATATCCGTCTTATCATTAGACTAAACATTCGATCATTTAAATATTGTCTTAAACAGGTATGGCGGAGATGGAGGAGGAAATCACGGCCAAGGTGTATTCATCAGAGACGAAGCTGGCGGGGGAAGAAGCGGAGTGCACAATCTGCTTATCGGAATTTGCAGATGGGGAGAAAATAAGGGTTTTGGAGAAGTGCAGCCATGGCTTCCATTTGCAGTGTATACAACAATGGCTGGTTGCACACACCTCTTGTCCCACGTGCAGAGCGAGTTGTACTCTGACTTAATGCCCCATTTCAGTTTGTTATAGACTTTTAGTTGATGAATGAAAGGTAATATAGTGATAATTTTTTGTATGTAAATCATTTCTCTTTAAGTAATTTCTATTATTCCGATATTATATTTGAAGGGTTAAATATTCGAGCTGTCTTGGTAAGTTTAATATGTTCAACTATTCCACAATATAAACATAATTGGGCAAATTACTTTAGCCCTCCGTGTCAAGGACCGCAGTTTTACTTAACCCTTTGACACAATTGTAGTTGTAGTTTGCCCAACTTCGACCGCACGTTGTAAGTATTAGTTCAAGTTTAAACTGTAATTTTCTTTTCATTGTAATAATTATTTCAATTGTAAAATAACTCTGATATTTGTAAACGTTTGGTATAAATTCTCGTTATTTAAACGTCTACTTTTGTCACTTAGGTTTTGGTTCAAAATCCTATTATAGGAGGTATTAGTCATTCAAAAATCTTTCAATCTCATTGGTGGACCCCTCTACACCAGCAATTATAATTTTCTACTTTCGTCAATTGTAATGTTCAATTTTAATCAATTAATATTCAATTTATTTTCAATGTATTCAAAATCTCTGTTGTAAGCTTTCTATAAAATTGTAATTAAATTTTCTTTCATCTCGACGCGATCGAGAAAAGGTGGAAGATGGTCTAGCGGAGCAGACTACTGACGCACAGTGTCCCTTTCTGTGCGAAGAAGAAAGGCACCACGTGAAAGTTAGTATCAAAGCTGCAGCTCACAACCCTCGATAAGAAGCCGTAGTCCTTGACACCCCGTGGGTGGACACTTTTTTGGATTTGAATAGTGAACTTTTAGATAATATATATTTAAAAAGTAGGAAAATATTTTTGTTTCGTGTACAATATTTTATTATGTAAATGTTTAATTAAAAATGAGTATATAAAAAAGAAATAGAAAGAACGATAGATATTTATGGGATTTTTGAAAAATCAATATAAAAATGTTTACAATTAACAAACTGTATTAATTATGGTATTAAGCTCAGAATTGATTCTCTTAACCGTCGTTGCGCAAGCTATTCTTCTTCAAATCTCCATTCAAATCCAATATTAATTTTCAAGCAGATTATTTTTCAATTTTGACAATTTCATAAGTTGCACATCCATTTTCAGGTATTAATGTTCTTTTATGATTATTAATATTAGGAAAAATTGTAGCAGAAGCCCCAAACCTTTGAAACATTAACAAACTTTCTTCAAACCTTTGATTTGTTGCAGCCGTCATCCCTAACCTTTCCAAACATTGCAGGGAAAGCCTTTTTGAATGGTTTTCATCCACAATTCTGTTAGTTGACCAAAAATTTAACTTTGACCACATTTTTAATATTTTAAAAGGGGATAAAAAAGTAAATTTTCATTTATCACATTATATAGTAATTAAATTAGAACATGAAAAATAAAAAAACACAACCCGTCTTCTTCCTCTCACTCCCCCTGCCCACCCCTAACTCAAATCCAAAATCCTCACCACCACTGCCGGCACCACCACCACATCTTAATAACAGCACATTTTCATGTTTAATCTTCCCCAAAACTTCCATTTGCTGCTCGAATTCTCTCTTCGAAGCCACCACATCTTTTAGCCTCTTCACCACAACAATGCTTCCTTCTTCTAACATAGCTTCATAACTAGTATCAACACTTCCTTTTCCCGTTGAAGCCCTGAACAAATCCTCCAGATTGAAACTATAAGCCCCCACATCGAAGAATACCAATTTATTCCTCCAATTTCCACGCTCCCCCTTGCTAACATTACTCGTGCAAGATTTCTCTTTATTTGAATTGCCTTCAATCTTCTTCACACCATATACATACAATTCATGCATTACTTCCTCCATAGTGTCATTTCTTGTAGAAATCCTCAAGGATTTGTTAAAGTAAAAGGAAAATAAAGAATTTAAGGGTTAAATTTATGTGGTTATTTTGATAACCTGAAAACCCTCAATTAGAGGGGTTATAATTGTACTCATGTTCTTCAGTTTGATTTTTCTGGGGAAATGATTGTACATTTTGGTGAAAATAATTTGATTTGGTATAGAAAACCTGGAATTTGAGTCGGTGGCTTGCTGAAGAGAATTTCGGGGTTGGGGATTACGTGACATTGGAGGAAGGTTCATACGGTGGGACCTACAGGTAGGTGGTTGCTGAGGGGTCGACATCGGGTTGTTGTGGAGGAAATGGTGGTGATGGCGGAGGGTGGTTGTGGTGGTGGTGTGGTTTTTTGGATTTGAGTTAGGGGTGGGAGTGGTGGCAGGGTGAGAGGAAGAAGATGGGTTATGTTTTTTTATTTTTCATTTTCTAATTTAATTACTATATAATATGATAAATGAAAATTTACTCTTTTACCTCCTTTTAAAATATTAAAAATGTGGTCAAAGTTAAATTTTTGGTCAACTAAAGGAATTGTGGATGAAAATCGTCCAAAAGGGCTACTCCTACATCGTTTGGAAAGGTTAAAGGTGACAGCTGCAACAAATCAAAGGTTTGGAGAAAATTTGCTAATATTTCAAAGATTTGGAATCTCTGCTGCAATTTTTCCTTAACATTATTCACCAGTTTATTAGTTTTCAAGTGAAAATTTTCAAATTTTCAGTAACAATTTCATCTCCTACTTCACTTTCATTCTCCCATCACTTTACAAGTTCAATTTTCCAGGTAAATTACCAAGACAATCTACTTTGCGAAATCTATTTCAAATCTATTATGAATTTGAGATATTATATATATATATATATATATATATA